GCAACATCCAGGGACCCTTCTAACTTCAGCAATAGAAAGCCTAGATTTGGGTTGGAACTTGTAGAACATAGGTCTGTCATGATAATGTCATGATAACAAATTTGAAGTATGATAAGTTTTCAATAGTGACATTTTATGACATTAGTGTGAGTGTGTTTTTTGTTTGCAAGGTTTGTGTGTTAAACCTGTGTGAATGAAACAAAACACAACTCCAGGTATGTTTATGATGAGGAAACATTATAATATGTATCAGAAATGGTGTAATATGGGCCCTTTAATGATAAATTATGAAATACTTGATTGTAATTGCTAATCCCATGTTGCCAGGACTGTGATTATTTGGGTTCTTCCCAGAGGGTTGATTTTTTTTTTTTTGAGGTCACCCCTCCCCAGCCCCCAGGCAAAGTACTGTCTGTGTGAAAGGGGGTCTTCACTGTGCACAAACCCCCTGTGAATCGAGCTGAGTCTTTAGTTAATTAAAGCATTGACTAACTCTTTACTTCACACCATTGACTTTGGTTTAGTCGATCGATAAAGCAATGCCGAGTGACTGGAGCATCAAAGTGTGTGGGTACTTCTGTTTATTGACCTTTTAGCTTGAAACTGTAGACATACTGAACTTGTTGACCATATTAAAAATGACAAGACCTTTACTGAAAATATATTTACTTCACATGTGCCTTTATAAGGTTTCTTTTTTCCTTTTTCTTATTTCCATTATTTAAAGGTGCACTGTGTAACTACTGGTAGGGTTTACCACCTGCTTAACTCAAGGTAGATGTTCATGTTTTTCCCTGAAATGTTCTACCAAATGGCATTTTATTTAACTATCTCAATGAAAACAAGCAGGCTACATGACAAGGCCAAGACAAGGTCAGATCTGTGGAGAAGTGGGCCCGCTTACACATGTTTTTAGTGTAGTTTTGAGAAAAAAAACCACCAAAAGATATACAGTATTTGCTCAATGCCATACTATGGACCATCGCAGACAAAGCAATAACATTTCCATGGAGACGAGCTGATGGTAGACCCTCCATCAAAAAAGTTGCACACCTTTAATGGACCTGTATCAATGTTGCCAGGTAGAGTTTTCCAGCAGAATTGGGTGACTTTTTAAGAGCTGCCATGGATTAAAAATATTGTCCGTTGGTTTGGACAGAGCTATTTTTATGTAAAATGCATTGATTTTTAGAAAACTTCAAATGAAAACCCTGAATCTCAGTGACAAATCTTCACATTCAAGTCATCCGCGCTGTTTTGAGCTTCTATTTGTGTTTGTGTGTGTGTGTGTGTGTGGGTGGGGGGGGGCAGCCTTTACCTGAATTGTATTTCTTTTAGTTCCAGAAAACAACTTTTGCAACAGACACAACGATGAGGACCATGTAGAAAGAAACAACTGCCTGTGACTAATCGACTTTTTCATGGTGTAATATAAGAGTGAGAAAAGAGACTGAGTGGGCGGGACTTCAAACGGTTCTCATGATTCAAATTAAGTACAGATCCCATTTACAGCTACAGCATCTATTTATACAGTGGTCTATATACATGGTCAAATAATGGTCAGTACATGTTTAAAGGTGCATTTATTAAATTACAAGTGGTTTTATAGCTCTAAAATGACCTGTAACTTGGTCTGGTTTGGTCTCCATGAAGATAGAAAGGTTTAATACCGTACTGTGAAATATTCCAGACAAAGAAATAACATCTTCATGCAGAAAAGCATTTGATGGACCAGTAAAGTTACACAATGCACCTTTAAAATGCCAATAGTGTTTCCCTGACATTGACAGTTAACATGCTTTTGTTTTAGATTTCTGACTCATTTATACACAATTCTTATCTTGGGTTAATTAAGGTAAAGGTGTACTGTGTACCTTCTATTGCCTGGAATTTTCCACAGTTTGGCATTAAACTCTCCATGTACAAGCAAGTAATGCCACATCGGTTGAGAGGCAACCATAGTCCAAGCAAGAATGCACATATTTACCAAGGTTTTTTTTTTTTCATTTTTCATTTTCAATTTTTATCATTAGCATAACATCATGCATAGATATCTTTCATTTTTGTAATAGCGTTGTATGTATGGGCCTGTCATGATAATTACTATTATGGTTCAATATATGATGTATGGAACAATAATTTTGGAGGGTCAGTATTTATATTTAATATTTATACTTTTTTCTTTGTACTAGATTTTTTTTGTTATATGATAACATTTCAGTGTAAAGGGTTGAATTATGAACTGAAACTATATTACAGAATTATTACAGTGTTCACACATTACATTCTGCTAATTAGGGCCCAACTGATATGGATTTTGTTGTGGCCGATATGATACCAATATAATGGGAGTTGGAGCTGCCTATAGCCGATATAATCGCCGATATATTTAGTGATGTAAAAATTCACTGTAAATCTTGAATTGTTTAAAAAACTTAGGTTTGGCTCTGGTGGATTTTAAATTGGACAAATTGGATTTATTTTGGCAACATTTATTTATTTGACTCTTCAGGGTGTTTTGTTGCAAGCAGGACTAAACCAGAACTGAACCAGGTCTAAACCAGGACTGAAAAAGGACTAAACCAGGACTAAAACAGATCTAAACCATATGTAAAACAGGACTACACCAGAACTGAACCAGGACTGAGTGTCGGGACACGGTCTATATCTCTCTCCCTCTTTCGATCCCAAGATTAGTCCTGGTTTATTTATTTTATGCTGAACTACAGCCAAATATGCACTTTTTTATCCTATGCACACGTAGATTTCTGAAAGTTTAGTTTTCAGCCGCTACCCGCTGTCACACTACCAAGAGTCTGCACGCGGCGTGAAGAGAAAAAAGTGGGAGAAAGAGAAAACACGGCTCCCAATAAGGAGCAGGCTCCCGTTGTTCACTTCTAAGAGCCGTTTCTTTCGCGATCGACCCATCACTACTAGCTAGTAAATAAACTACCGCTATCAGCCATTAGCCGTAAATGCGTGCGCGCCGCTATAGTAATTAATTATATGCGTAAATTTCATAATTCACACGTCTATTCAAGGCTAATTTACATATCAGTGCTGGTCTAGTAACATATATACGGCCAATATAGTCACTTTACAACAGACCAATAGAAAACAGCCTGTTTATGTGCAGGAGCTATAGCAGTTAATCGCTAACCAATGAGAAAGAACCAAAACTAGCTTCAAAGTCGACATATTTCCAACACTCACCGCTCACACAGGCTCCTCCTCACATCACAAGTCTGCACTAATAAATGTCCTTTTAATCCAGACTCAAACCAATTGCATGTAAAAAGAATATAATCTCAGTGTTTGGATCTGTGTCTGCGGGTGTAAACAAACGCATGTGAGTGACATGACTCTGTGGGTGTGTTCAGGGACAGTACGGACACAGACACAGACAAATAACTCTGCAGATAAATACTGATGCAGAGCCACATATTAGGACATTTATCTGTCTGTAAATTGGATTAAATGAACATAATGTCGAGTCTAAGCTTTATAACGAGGTATAACATGCCCACGTGAAATATCGGCCCATATCAGCAAACATATTGGCCGATAATATCCCTACTGCTAATTATTTATTACAGCTCATGTTTTTAACAATATTGTAAATTTAGTTATAAATTTTAATAGTTTGGGAGGATAATTCTGCTTTATGGTTTGGTTTGTCATCTATTTACTTCAGCAGTATATATCGCACTTAAAAAATTGTTATCATGACAGGTCTGGTGTTGTAATAATCTTGGCCTCCACTGTATGTTGTGATTTGTTGCAGGACTGGTGGTCCGAGGGGGGCTGCCGCAAGATTTCCCAGAATTCATTGAGAATCAGAGCCATGGCCCATGACATCACTCTCCTGCTGTGTCTGTGTGACCTCTGTGCTGTTGTGTGGACACCCCCCCCCCCCCCCCCCCTTTTCCTCCATAGCGATGCCTGTATGTCTGTGCATGTTGTGTGAGGGCTGCATAAATACTGTATATTCAAATGCAATGCTAGTATTACAAGAAGGAAGGTTACGTTAGTTTATGTGCAATTTTTAGTTAATAAACAAAACTGGAAAAGCTTGCAAAAAGCTCAAAGTTCACCAAGAGATAGACAGTAACAACAAGGATGCCCTGATTGACTTTTTTGGCTCCCATTTTGATACCAAGATTAAAATCCTTTGTACGAGTTTGAGACCTAATGCTGTTTTGTAATATTTGCATTTTAATAACAGCAAACTGCAACTAGAAGGCCTAATTTACTTCTAGTTTAGATCTACCTGGGTTAGTCCTGGTTTAGTCATAGACAGGTCACATTTCTCATAGTCTTGGTTTAGAAGATAGGTTTAGACATTTTTGCTAGTTTATGCTCATTTCTGTACTCTTTTAATTCTGATTCAGTATAGTTTAATCCTCATAGCTGTAACATAGCTGTGTTTTTGGTCTAATTTAGTCGTGGTTCAATTCTGTTCACTCTTGTATCTTGAGTGTAGTTTTAGGCTTTAGGGAGTCTTAATCTTGGTTTCATCTTGAATTTCCTCAAAATGTTGTAAATGACAGGAAGTTGACCCATGAATACATTGCACAATTTGACAGTTTGTTATAACAATATTCAAAAGTCCCTAATAATTTGCATTACATATTTTCCCGTTATAGTGCAGTCTAGATGTTATCCATATTAACTGAATGCTTGCAGTCCCTTCTCACCTACACACTTCTCCCTCTCTATATCTTAACTTCATTCACAGCATTTGCCTGCACCTCCCCTGTTTTCAGAGTACCTTGGCTTGCACTGACAAAGCACTGAGTGTGATACTGACATCCCTTTTGTCCACAGGGGGCTCCTAACTCAACCCCAGGACCACCTCACATAACAGTCTGCACCTCGTGTGGGGCCGCAGACATGCACTTGTGGCTTGTGTTTTGAAAATGTAGATTTAAGTGTTAGACACTGCATTTTGTATTTGATTATGTGTAATAATATGATGTTTTTTGTGTGTTTTGTTATAGACACTATCCCAGCACAAAATTCACTGTGGTGGCTGACACTCCAGAGAACCTTCGTCTTAAAGCGCAGTCGGAGAATCAGAGCACGGTAACCTCACATTATATCTTTTACAGAAGACCGATTGTGCTTGTTTCTGCTATATAGCTTTAATCTATGACAGCCGTGAATCATTGTTATAATTTGGATAAAATTGGCTATATCAATCTAAAATGACTTTATAAAAGAAACAAGTCCGCTGCCTTCCACATTAGAAAACTGCGGCGTCCAGCGGGTGCTGACATTGCCGTAAACAACACAATGCACCTTTAATTATACTTTTTATGGGCACCTGTCTACCTATACAAGTATGTACTATCCTGTCCCTCCCTAGAGTAATCACAAAACACTGCTACTACTGTTGCAGAAATAGCCAAGATATTTTGAGTTGAATGTTAAAAATATCTGTACAAACTGGGTCATGAGAACAGCTTTAATAAGGCTTGAGAAGTGGAATATCTGAACTGGCACCACCTTAGGTTTTGAGAATAGATTTAGTTCAAGATTCAAGGATTTATTGTCATTGTCACAAGTAACTTTTTTTTTTGTTAAATATTATTATTGTTTACATTTGTGTTCATTATTTTAATTTGTTGTGTTGATGTCTGTCTGGTTTGATGCAGATTTCTTTATCACATTATTACATTTAACACATATTTGTGAGGTACTTATCGCATGTAATATAACAACATGACATACAGGCAGAGGTAGACACAATATAAGGTGCAAATGTTCTGAATTGAATGATTTTTAAAAAAAAAATTGAACTCAGCATTGGTATTTGTGTATTAGTCACTGTCAGATGTCATAACACAGTGAATGGGAGCAGTCTTTAGTGGGCCGATGGGGTGGGGGTAGCTGTTACAAGTTGTGGGGATTGTAGGACAGATGGTGTTTTTCTACATGGTTTATGCATGCCTCAAACAATAAAAAGAGACCAACAGTGAGTGGGGACCTATACATTATTCCATTAGTTTAATTTTCGCATCACAATACCTAAATAATAAAAGGTAACTCGGTGACGTGATGTGTTAGCAATTAATACCCCGTACATGCAAAACAAAGCTAATCTGATGTAAACAGACATATAAAAGTACTTCACATTTTGATTTTTGTTTAGTTTTTTACTTACTTTTCCTTCTAAAAATCCTTCCTTCCTTCTATTATTTATGTTAGTTCTTAAAATTATATTTTAACCTGAATAATCACAATAGTCTGTGCGCACAATAACACCCGGCAACCTCACTGTTAGTGCTGCTACTTCCTATCCAATTTCATCTCTGTTTTTGTTGAGTCGTGATAAAATTAATAAATATTTAAAGATAAAGCAGTGGACAGAGAGATGTAGGTGGATGTCCACTGATGACATGTTAAAAAGTACACAAATAAAACACAATATTTCAGGAGAGGAAAGAGAGATGTTTGTGTTTAAATGCTAACGCTAAAGCAAATTTTGAGGCATAAATATTAAAACGACGCCACAAACTTACAATGCCAAAAAGTATTCTACATATACAGATAACTGGGTAGTCTTTACTTTAATTGATTTAAATTTTAATTGGTTGTTTATTATATATTTTACAATTTAAATAAACGTGTCCGTTAGCTTTGAGACCAAGGGAGCTAGCTAGTATGCTACTGTGTACAGAGCTAATTGTAGATTAACTAAAAAATCTTGACATCCCTACTCACGACCTTTTTGCTTTTTGCCTACTAGTCAAACTGCCACTCTGTCCACCACCACATGCAGAAGTTGTTTATTTGGGGAAATACTTTGTGACCCTGTTGCCATGGCAGCCAGCACGGAAGTCTGTCACACCTCATTACAAGACGTTTTCAGAGCACAAAACGAAAGGGGAAAAAACAGGAGGAGGATGGATGGAGTGATGACAAAAATGGAGAAGGAGGTGAAGGAGAGTCAGGAAAGCAGCGGTGCAGAAAAAACGGGGAGATAAAAGTCCAAAATCCCCCCGAGGACTGAGGAGGAAGATGCTAAAGGAATGCAAATATGAGAGGCAAATTCTAATGAGTTTGAGCTGGGGTTTGTCAGGGCTGTTTTTGAGGCTGTAAAATATGAATGAAGCAAGGAGACGAGGGATGTGGGAGGAGAGAGAGGAGACCTGTTACATAAAGGGATTTAAGAAGCAATATTGAATTTGTGTTAATGAATAGGTTTAAATGGGCAGTGTAGAGGTGAAATTGATGAGGAACTTCTGCTTGATCTTTGGCAATTTTAAAGAAGTCCTATTGTGCTTGAGCACATAGCATATATAGTTCTATGACACCCATAGATCATTACTTTATGATGTGCACATATTAACTCACAATTTTCATCTAAAATGGCATAATAAAAGAAACAGATCTGCTGACTTCTGCATTAGTAAACTGTGGTGCCCAGTGGGAGCTGAGCTGTAAACGTCATCACAACGAAGAGTCGGCAGCTCCTATTGATAGAGGTAAATCACGTTAGCCTGCTAATGCGATGCTATGAGTAAACAATAGCCAACTAAAAGTAAAGAAAAAATATCATAAAGCATTTGTTCACAATGCTGATGTGTATATATGGTGAGAGTTAGTTGTTAGCTTAGTGTACTTTATTATTTATCAGATATTAGTTTGTTGCTTCTCACATTAAAAAGCTGTTTTTAAATGATCACAAATTAGTGAAATTTGAAGTTGTTACAAAACCAGCCAAATAATTAATGACTGGTAGAGTAGCTGGCACTTCTCACATTAAAACTTTTTTTTTTTATAAGATTTTATAACCCATGCAAGAAACTGCAGTCTCTATAGCACACCTTGTTATTGTAGGCCTCTGTAATAAAAAATAAAATGACAATAACAAAAAATAACATAACTGAAATGAAAACAATTTAAAAGTGCACTATGGACATTTTCTGGTGTGGGGTTATTTCCTTTTTGTCACTATGGAGACGTTCTTGCATTACCAGGAATCTTCCATGCTAGCTTACATGTCTTTTTCTTAATTCTTCAAAAAAATTCTTACACATTCTTACTATGTGAGCAGGTTCACCTCTCCTGACCTGTAACTTGACCTGCTTGGAGTGTCACGATAACACATATTGAAGTACGATATAGAAAATAGAGACAATAATATGATAATAACTACTTTATGCCACTGACATAATAAGTAAATTTATCCCCAGAAAGTATTCTAAATATGATTAAAAAACACAAACTGCAAAGAACCTTTCCTGAATAGCTTTAGAATGACCTTGAGCTTTAACAGAACAAGTATAAGAGCACCACCATAGTTGTTAAATCATGCATATTTTACAAAAATCCATGTGTAGGCCTGGCTGTCATGATAACACATATTGAAGCATTGCTGAAGAAAATACAGAAGATAATATTGAAACAAATTTATGCCACTGACACTATAACACATCAGCAGAATTATTCCCAAAAAAGACTGTAAATGTTCAATACAGTTAAAAATACAAAGTACCGAAGTTCCTCACTAGTACAAGGAAAAGGTCACTCACGATAAATATTGACCCCCCCAAAAAATATTTGATCCATTTGCCATGTCACTTTTTATACTTTACTTATTTATTTACTTTACTTACATACTTTACTTACTAAATACATACAGTACTTACTTTACTTAGAAACAAACCTAGCAACTGTATTTCCCAGTTTAAACCAGGTCATAGTTATCTTGATTGCTGATAGTATGTTACTCTTGATCTTTGATTTGGGAAAAAGGGGAAAAGGCCTTGAATGGCTTTTAGCACATTAGCTGCAGGGAGTGAGTCATAAACACGTCACGACAGCACAAGGCGGAGGAGAGGAGGGGGGTAGGTAAGGATCTGTCTGTATGGATTAAGACTGGGATATGATTAAAAAAATAAATAAATAAAAATTCTGTTTGATAAGTCGGAATAACTTCAAAATTTTAAAAGGACTATTGCTATTACCTATTATTGTCTAAATCTCCACAGCTAATAATAGCAAATAGAGATGAGCCATTCAAGAGCTGATCAAGAGTTGATTCTACCAATGATTCTAGTGAAGGTGTATGGAGTTTAAAAACACAATGCGAGTGAATTATACAAAACACAACTCCATGTATATTTTTGATGAGCAAACAACAATAAATATAGTACAGAAAACTGTGTAACATGGGCCTTTTAACTATGTATGACTGTAGAACTGCAAAAAAAATGTAATTTTCAGGTTAATCAAGAAGTCATTTGATTATAAAGGCCCTTGAATGTGAGATTTTACTTCTTTTTTTAATACAAAATGTTACTGAGATGAACCTAAATGGATGTTGCTTGAGAACATTGTCCTGATTTAGTAAACAGACTATTAGATTAGAATGTTTTTATACAGAAATTAAAAAATTAAAACAAAAACGGATTATTTTCCAAGTCATTTCGATGAGTCATAAAACCTCTTCTCTAAGCTTATGATTTGAAGTCTGTGTACAGTAGGACTGTCATAACACATTTAGAAGTACAATATATTGCCGAAGAAAATATAGACGATAAACAATATTGAAACCAAACCATAAAGCAAAATTATCCCCCAAAAATAATGTAAACGTACAAAATTGTTATTGCAATAAATAAATAACAGAACACACTTAAGTAATTAGTTTGTGTTTATATATTATTGTTCATTTTATTATGTATTGAACGATAAATCAATATATATTTATTGCAACAGGTCTATGTATAACCCATATATGGTTATTAATTTTCCAAATTAGTTGAGTATTATTTCAATAATCAATTGGAATGTTTGATTTCAAAGCCACAACACCACACACACCACAAAATTGCATTAGCGTTTAACATTTTTCATATTGATACTTTGCAGCTGATACCATCAACATTCCCTTGGTGTGTGATGCTAACTGTAGGCACTGCTCTGTCTGAAGCTTTTTTTTTTTTTTTTTTACATAGTCGGACCAGAAAGAGCTGGTTTAGCTAGAATTACAACAGGTCAGATGATTTGTGCTGTTAAACAAGTCCAAACAAGTAATTTTTAGTTAGTCAATCTCACCATTTTTGTTGATAATCAAACACCTAAACAGAACTTGTGAAAATGTGTTTTTTAAATTATTATTATTTTGTTTGTTTTCTTGAGTTGTCAGACTGTTTCAACACTTTTTTTTTGGCAGTGCTTGTGTGCATTGTGTCACCATGGCAACTTCTGAACTCTCCACTATAGACATTAAGGCAGAACAATGTATTAATAGATAACATTTTATAAAATTTTAACTTTTAACCTCTGAACTTCTACCTTCTGTTTATTTAGTTATGTAGGGACATTCCTCCTCTTCGCCTCCTGGATCTAACCACAGTTTAATATAAAACTCAACTTCCACTCAACTTTCACTTTAGTCAGAGAAACTGCTCTGCTAAATAAGCCCTATAGGTTAAATTACTGCACATCAGCGCTGAGGTGGTATACTGTAATTCCCGATACTCATCTTGGGCTGCTGGGTGGACATTTCCGTCCCGTCCCAATTCAGGATGGCCCTTACATACCACATACACACACACAATGCACTGTCATACCTCTCAGATGACCATATATGGAGCTGCCAGTTGCCTAAATGCCCCGCCAAACAGGAAGTAAGAGTCACCTCAGTAGCAGCAGGCTAAATGCGTAGCTTTGTTTGCTAATATGATACGCCTCTGCCTAAAGTGAAAATGCCTTCTTAGTTTGGTCATGTATCTGCAGGGACTTCAAAGTGGACAATATTAAAACATGACTCATACAAAGTTCATCATAGAAAGTAGAGTATTACACTATTTTCTGATCTACCTGGAGTCGTGTTGTGTTTCATTCACTCAAACATGTGTGAATGAAACAAAACACAACTACAGGTATGTTTTTGTTGAGGTAACAACATTATGACATGACTTAACGCTCACAAGAGACAAGTTTGCATAATGTAAGACCTTTAAATGTGCTTATATGTAACTCGACCTGTTTGTCTGGATTGAAATGTTATTGTTTGCATATATTGTTTGCCAGGCGTTTTTTCTTGCACGGGAGCTTGCTTATTTGTTTGGAACATTTAAGACTGCAAAAATATTACATGACCTTTAAACATTTCTATTGCTGATTTTGTTATTGTATTTGTAGTACTCTTTGGCACACGTTGGCTGTCATTTTGGATTTATTTATTCTGATTTCCTGTATTTGTTTTGCAGGTCGCCTACAAAATGGACTTTGAGAAGAAAAAAGGGGTTTACAGGGCAGTCGTAGATACACCAGAGATGGAGAGACTCAAGAAAACGCAGCAACAAATCAGCGATGTAAGTTGCCAGATTTTTTTGTTTAGCTGCTAAAAGAGCTCACTTTTTGCAAGTTTGATGAGTATTACACACGCTCTCTTCAACATACCTGGCTTCAGAAATACAATGTGTGAAGCAACCTCTTTATTCCAGGTATTTGAGCAAATCTTGCCCCAATACAGATATATTGTATAAGCATCTCTTGAGGTCAAAGCAAGTCAGCTGTGTACCCTCTGCATGTAATTATAAAGTATCTTACTTTGCAATAATGAAGTGTTGTTACTTGTTGTTATAATTACCGTGATGATAAAACTATTCTCTGTCTTCTGAAAGTTGTGAAAAGTGCTTATAAACTCATCATGGTGAATAATTGATATGTTCGGAATTCATAAGGTATGTGAGGAATAAATTTGGACCACTGCAAAAAGTTGAAATTAACTAGTTCTGTTTGTTTTTTGCCAAATTATTTTAATCAGCAATTCTTCTTTATAAAACCACATAGGGTTGTCAAAAATAAATAAAAAAACACCAATTTTACAACTCATATTGTAACAAGTAGGAAAAAATAGTGTCTTTCTTGAATAGTTTTTGAATGGTCCTTTGAATGGTATTAGGACCACATAAAGGTAAAGCTACTATTACTTTTTATTTAGTTTTTTTCCTATTGTCTACAAAACAGTCCTTATCATTGTGGTATAGAAGTTGGTATATAGTTGGTATCTATGTTGTAATGTTTCCTCATCACAAACGTACCTGGAATTGTTTTTAGTGTCATTGTTGTTGTCATTTTTAACACAAACCCTGCATATTTAGACTGAGTTCTTCTCTCAAACTAAAAAACAATGTGTTCCACCTTGTTATGTCATATGGTAATACAGGAAGTGTTCCACTATATTTAAACTCTATACATACACCTTCACCAGAGTCATTTGAATAGTTTCGTCTCTGGAATTCCCTTCTCTATTGAACTAAAGGTAAAAGGAGCTGCTAACTTGAAAACTAGCGCTTCATGACATCACAAGGTGGAACAAAGCATTTTGAGCTTTGGAGATGTAGGCAGACGAATAATGCAGGATTACTCAAACGTCTGAATGAAACAAAACACAACTCCAGGTCTGTTTTTGATGGGTCAGTTTTGCATAATATAGGACTTTTAAATCAGGTTTGTAGCATAACATAACTAAAACCTCATAATAATATCTACCTCTTCCTTGTTCAAACTAGCCCACTGTAACCTTCAGAAATTCCCTCTAATATTGTTTTCCGGATGGTTTGTTGGCTGTACTCTCCCCTCTGCTGTCCCTTAGCTGCAGTTATTGATTGTAGTATTCTCTGTAAATACCAAGCAGTGTTGAAGAAATACATGCACACTCTCCCAGACTGCTTAGGTCAGCTGTGGAGATTATTTGCATGGAAAACTCATTACCAGTCATTGCATATTAGAGCTGGGCAATATCGTCTAGATGAGATTTTGACATTGTTATCTTCAAAATTAGAATATTGCGTTGCTAAAACACTTTAAATGTAAAAAGATCATAAACTTGCTGTGTAATCTTTCAAACAAGGGTGTGCATTAAAGACTTTACTTTAATGTCCAGTATTACACAAAATGGACTCTTTTGAGCTTTTAGCCAAGTTATAATGTTGTTACCTCATCAAAAAATGAGTAATGGTGTAATGGTTCAACCTGCTTGTCTCCCTCGTGATAGATAGGTTTAATCTGTACTGTGGAACATTTTAGATAAGGCAATAACATCTCTACGGAGAAATGGACACAAGCAGGTGGCAGACCATCTACTAGAAATGTTACGCAGTGCACCTTTTAAATCAAACACTGATTTCTTTTCTTTTCTTTTCTTTTTTTTTTTTTTTTTTACATTTTTCTAGCCCTTTTACACATGCACATAACCAGCTCTGCAGCCCGGCCTGTCTAATTGTATAATGAGTGTGGAGGGCACTGGCTAATTATGGCTCTCTTTTGATGAGGGATTTGTGTGTCTGAGATCAAGGGAAAATGTGGTGAGAAAAAAACATGCATACGATTGAATTGGGGACTTCAAATCTAAATAAAATGGTTATTGATTATGTTTTTGATCAATAAATCAAATCGGGCCCATTACAAGCAAATTACAGAGTTATTTCATGTAATAATGACAGATTTTTTTCATTTCAAGGATGCAGAATGACCTTCATGAATACATGCTACATTTGCTTCATCCATACATTTTTTTTGTGGTCTTCCTCATGGCTTGTGTTATGTATTATTCTCAACATATTTTCTAGATAAATTTAAATTATTTATTACCAAAACATTAAATATTTGTTGTCATAGGGTTAGGTTTAGGATTTGTTTCATTTCTCTGTTTTTATTACTTGAAAATTAATTAAAAACTTAAATTCTTACTATGAACAGGCTTCTGACCTGTAACTTGGCTCAGTGGCTTCACTTGCTCGTCTCCAAAGAGATTGGCTTAATGGCTTACTGATGAACATTTCAGGAAAAGCTATAACATCTCCGTGGAGAAAAACAGATTCCTCATCAAAAAAGTTGCACAGTGCACTTTAAAGATTCTATATTACTCAAAATCAACTCTTGTGAGCTTTTAGCCACAAGAGCGGTTGCCTCCTCAAAAACATACCCGCAGTAACTTTATTATTAGTCTGTCTACATCCCCAAAGCCCAAAATGCTCTTTTTGACCATGTGATGTCAAGTAGTGGTAGTTTTAAAGTTAAGAGCTTAGTTCAGAGTGGCAATTCCAAGGCTGAAATCATCCAAATGTCTTTTCTAGTGAATGTGTGTGGAGTTTAATAACACAGTGGAGCACTTCCTGTATTACCACATGACATCACAAGGTGGAGCAAGGTATTTTCTGTTTGAGAGAAGAACTCAGCTTAAACATGCAGGGTTTGTGTGTTAAACATGTGTGAATGAAACAAAACACAGCTCCAGGTATGTTTTTGATGAGAAAAACATTATAACGTAGATCAGAAAATAGTGTAATATGGGCCCTTTAAAGCAGAAGTAGCAGTAACTTGGCTTGACCTTACTTGACACCCAACACTCTTTCTTTGTACTTTTACTTCTAATGAATATTTTAACAGTACTCCTAACAGGTGTTTAGTGGTAGACAGTTGTTGCAATATTTATGTACCTACACCTCAACCCTTTTGAAAACCTGAAATCTGACTCGGGCGTGGCTACTTTAGACTGTTACATTTGCTCATCCCATCTGCTTAAGATACTGCAATCTGCTTTACAGTCTTAAATGTGCACTGTGTCACTTTTTGGTTGGTGGTTCGTCATCTGCTTGTTTATGTCATTGCTGTGCCTGGAATGTTCCACAGTATGACATTGAACAGCTCTTCTTTACATTTACTAAATTACAGGTGGTTTTATAGCTCAAAAATGCCTAGAAAACAGGCATTGTGACTGTGGTCTCCATGAAGATAGAAAGTTTTAATACCATACTGTGAAGCATTTCAGACAAAGCAATAATAGCTCCATGGAGAAAAGCATTTGACGGACCCTCCACCAGAAAAGTTACACAATACACCTTTAACAGTGTAACATATTGCACTTTGAGAAAACAGATCTTCCCACTCACTGAGCGCACTGTCCTTCGCAAAAAAAACACTCAATTCGGTCCAACTAAAGACTGAATCAGACTCTTTAACTTGCTCCTAGCTCACAGTGGGCTCATTGAGTGTGAGCCTGACAGGACAAACTCTGGGCTGTAAAGTCTAGAGTGACCCACAGTTAGTCACACTGTTTAGAGCCCAGTTACTGAGTACTTTCATAGAGGAGTCAGTGAGTTTTGTGTTGCAGCTGAATGCTTCCTTTGACACGTAGTAATGCAATTGTTTCCTGTTTCATCATTGGCTATTTTTAACGGCTGAGGAGAAAAGTTTTATGTGTGTATGTACTGAGGAGAAAAAAAATGCTAATTATATACATTTATTTATTTATTGGAATCATTATCAGTTCGTAAATTGCAAATAGTACCCAGTCATTGTTATCTGGACTATATAGTAGTAGTGCTTTTTTTTTTTTTTTTTTTTTTTTTTTTTTTATTTGAACAGGAATACAAGTATGTCCCTGAGATGTACCCAACCAACAAAACATCTCTATTCACAGAGCTAAGGCCTACTGATCATGGAACATAACTTCAATTTCATTAACTGCCCTTTCCCCAAATTCACTACAGGGCTACAAAATTGATTATTACAAATGATTCCAAATATATTACACAATTTTTGTTCTCTTCAGAGATCAGGGTGGACAAGCCCTGGAGTCTCATTTTAAGATCCACTTTTATTCCCTAGCTTTTAACACTTTAATTTTTTTTAATTATTATTATTTTTTAATATTTCATAAATTTAATTTATTGTTATTCTATGGGTTTGCTTTTACTTGACTGGGTTTAGTGATTTTAGAACTGGCAAGGTTAAATAGAGCTTTGATACTCTTATGTTTTTTAATACCTTTTTTTCAATGTTATCTCTAATTTTTTATTTTTATTTTATTTTATTTTTTTTTTCCCCAAGAATTATTCAGGCAGAAATTGTGTGCTAGGCGAAATGCTTAACCTCTTCCTCCTTTCGTTAATAACACTAGGAAACACAAAGGCATTCAAGCAACAGTTAGTTTCCTCTTTTCCGCTTCACCTGTTTGCAGTGATGTGGCACCAGGGGTTGCTATGGTGACTGCTACTTCCTGTCTCTGATATGTCACTTCCTGTCACTGTCAAAGCCTCTGCTGCCTCTGCTGCCTTCAGGCTTTGAATGCAGCCCCACCTTTTCTCACAAGGCCACAGCAAAGTGGAAAGGAGCTCTCTGCTGGGCAAAAAAGGAACTTCACTCTATTTTATGGTAATAAATGTGTAATGAAATGTTTATTTTTCTGTTTCAGATCAAGTACCATGCGGATATGGAGAGGGATAAGGGCAAATATTCATCACCAGCCGCCCATACCATGGGTATGATTTTTAAACATTTCTGTATATGTTTCTTTGAAAATATCTGCATGTTTTATCATCAAGGATCCAGTGTGTGACAAGCATGTAAGAATGTAATTTAGTTTGTAATGTAATGTAATTTTAGAATAACAGCAGTTTTATTTAAAAAACAAAACAAAAAACACACACACATCACACTTTCTGTATATAGGGAAATGAATTTATATTGCGTAAGAGTAGTTGTGCTTTGTTTCATTCACACATCTTTAATACACAAATTTTCCTGCATATTTTCTTAATTTTTTTATCAATGAATACACCTTTCCTAGAATCATTTGGATAACTTCAGCCATTGAATTGCCTAACTCTCTACTGAACGAGAGGTTAAAGGTAGATGTTAAATTGAAAACTACCTCTAGATGACATCACAAGGTGGAACAGAGCATTTAGGGCTTTGGAGATGTAGACAGACTGATAAGAAATGATCACTCAAACATGTGAATGAAACAAAACGCAACTCCAGTTATGTTTTTGTAGAGGTAAAAGCATTTTAACATGAAATACGCTCACAAATATCAATTTTGTGTAATACATGTATTAATCAAGTAAGTCACTACAGTCTTGGACACTTGAAAATGCTGATTCCGTCTTTTAATTTTCCACTGGTGCTGTTTTGTATGACATTTGTATGAAGATATTTGCTCTTGTGTGGCTATTATGTGGTATCAAAATTTCTCAGGCAGGTGAAGATTCAGGGCTGCAGTTTTTGTCTTCTCTCAGACATAAGAAGCATTGTCTGGGAGGTTGTGTAACAAGAAATTAAAGCAAGTTTTAGCTTGTTTTTCACTACTCACTTTGAGGAAAAAAAGAAGGCTGTTTCTAAAATTCTCATTAGAGGCACAGGATTTATTTAAAGGTGCATTGTGTATCTTTTCTGGTGGATGATCTGTCAAATGTTTTTCTCCATGGAGATGTTATTGCTTTGTCTAGAATGTTCCACGGTATGACATTAAACAGCTCCACCTTACACTTATTCAATTACAGGTCATTTTATAGCTCAAAAATAACTAGAAAGACAGGCATTCTGACTGTGGGCGGTGTTGCCTCTCCACAGATCTCACCTGTTACTTGATCTGGTTTGGTCTTCATGAAGATAGAAAGGTTTAATAGGTAGAGCTGTGTAAAGTCATATTGTGTAACATTCCAGGCCTGGCAATGATATAGCCATAGAAACAGGCAATCTAAAAAGTTACATAGTGCACAATTAAATGAACTCAAGAATCAATCCAGTATTATTGTTTAACCAAATATGTGTTCTGTATATCTGTTTGGATATACTGTATTTCAGTTAAAATGTGGTATTAATGTGATTTCTTATTTTCTCTTTTCTCAGACAACCACCGAGGCTCTGCACCCGCTCAGAGCTACTACCAGGAACAGCCATCTCGCGCTGCTGCCACTGAACGTGCCCCTGAGTGTGCCCCTGAGACTGCCAGTGCCGCAGGGGTGAGACCTCATTTACTCTTTTATTGTGTTGACTTAGACAAACTTTATTAGCTAACTGTAGGCTCTACTCTGTCTGAAGCTCTGTTACTTAAATTCGACTTTAAACTAAGTTTTCATACTCTGGCCATAAATTGACTTTGTTGTAACTACAACAGAAGCATATAGCATTAGCCGACTCTTTTTCATTTAAATTTTTATCTTTTTGTTGAAAATTTTACACCTAAACAGGACCATAATTTGGCCTCTGCAGATCTGTTGTTTAAATCAATTTTGGATTTTTTCTTGAGTTTTCAGGCAATCTAAAGATCTGTGCTTGTTAATGTGTGCATTAGGCCACCATTGTAACTACTGAACATTTCGCTATAGAGATACATGTAGAACACCCCCAGCATGATGTCACTGCAAAGTATCAATCAATCTCAAAAAGTTTCTAACAACAGGGAAATAAATACTGGCTATGTTTTCAGAGTCTTTATCTTCCCAAAATGTTTTAACCTGTACTAATCTTTTTAATCTACAAATTTTCATTTTGGTGCCCTCAGATTGTGTTAAACAGTGAAACAGGGACAGCTACCATGTATTCCACAGAGATTCATTATCCAAAATTACCGAAAGGGTGTCATCTTTATCACCCATTTATCTGTGTTTGTATCTTATTCCGCCCCCACCCACTTTCACTTCTAACTGCTACAAACTCGACCTTCTGATGTGGTTGAAACTTCCGGATAAGCATGACTCCCATTCATTTAAAGGTTGTATAGAGGATTTTCCAAGGAACGAGAAATCCAGCGACTGTTTGTCCTTTTTCAAATGTTGCGCATGCGTGAAACCACCCCCCCTCACCTACAGCTCCCTACATAGAAACGCCTCCTCCCGCCTCCTCGTTACGCCAGAAACAGGTTTGTTTACAGCCGGTGCGCTGCACATGACTTGTAAACAACTAACTACAGTGTTGGTTAGGCAAGGCGGAGAAGTGAGGAGCGGGGGGAGCGGGTGCGTGGACATTTCGTGCGCGGACGAGAAGTGAGGAGCAGGGAGAAGAGCGGAGCAAGGAGCAGGGAGAGGAGAGAGGAGAGGGGAGCGGTGCGCGGAGATTCCGTGCCCGGAGAAGTGAGGAGCAGGGGGAAGAGCGGAACGGCAGCGGGGACAGGAGCAGGAAGGGGTGCAGAGAAGGTTGCGTGGAGATTCAGTGCGAATGAACTAGCTACAACACGCAGCAGCAAGCGGACTCTTTCTTTGCCTTGAAAATTACGTTTTCAGACATAGGATATCGCATCGTGTCCTGAAAAACGTTTGACTAGCTCTTGGAAATAAAGTACGTTTTCATAATAAGCAGAAGTGACCTGTCCAGGAGTAATTTGGCGACCAGTGCGTCAGTCTTTAGACCCTGCGTCTGCTTCAGTTGCGCCATCGCTGGAATGAATCTTCAAGAATCACCTTAGTTTGGCTTCGCTGCTTTTCCCCTTGTCTTCTTCTTTCAGCGACCTCAAAAACGGACTTTCTTTTGCGGCTAACTGCTCCTGGATTCTTGTCTGCCATTGCAACAAACTTTGTGCGAACTGCGAGGAAGATATAGGTAAAAAAAAGCCGCTAAGAACTGTTGCGTTGGTGGAGTAAACAGCGTCTGTGGATCTTGCGTCTGTGGACTGCGTGACAGGCGTTCGTAAACCACGTACCGGCGGCGCGCAGGCAAGTCAGTTACGCTAGAAACGTAGGGAGTTTGATTGACAGCCTGTCAGCTAACAGATAACGAGGCAGTGTCGTTATCTATTGGCAAATGTTTAGCCCCACCACGTCCAGAGTTGATGAATTTTTATTCTCTTTTTTTTGGTCATCATAATTACAAGGCTACTGCACCTCTATAATGCTATCATTGACAATTTGAAACAAAAAAAATCCTCCATACAACCTTTAAATAGAGTAAAAAAAAAAAAAAAAAACTTTCTTTACTACTTTCTTTAGTAGATTATCAATGCATTGTTGACTTGTTGATGAACATTGGGCATTTTACACAAATTAACCTATTTTATATAATTTTTAGCTGCAAAACTTTTCTCAAATTCTCCATTGAAATGTATGGGACTTAACCAGAAATGTGGCAAGGAGGCTGAGTGGCTAGCACTCATGCTTCACAGCAAGAGGGTTCCGGGTTGCCTGTACCTTTCTGTCTGGAGGTTGCATGTGCCTGGGTGGGTTTCCTCGGGGCACTCTCGTTTCTCCCAAACAATCCAAAAACATGCACCATAGGTAGGGAAAAATCCTTCAGCTAAGGTAGTCCTGACCAAGCCAAGCAACAAGATCATGGAGATGCTGCCTAAAAATTTGCCAAACTGGGAAAAAAGTGTGAATGTTTTTGCCAAAATCTTAACGATACACTGTGCAACTTTTTGTTTAGGGGTCCATCACTTTCTTGTTTGTATTGATATGTCATTGTTCTGCTTTGAATGTTCCACAGTATGACATTAAACAGCTTTACATTTATGCAGTTACAGTTGGTTTTGTAGCTCAGAAATATTTTGAAAAATGGGTATTCTGACTATGAGCGGGGTTGCCTGTCCACAGATCTGTAACTTAGTCTGGTTTGGTCTCGATGAAGATAGAAAGGTTTAATTCCAGACAAAGCAGTAACATCTCTGGAGAAAAACATTTGATGGACCCCCAACAGAAAGTTACACAGTGCACCTTTAACTGTGTTTTAGTAAAATTAGTAGTAGTACTTTAATTGTGTTGTCAGCCCTATGCACAATAATACCAGAATGACATTCCAGGGGCTTGTGATGTCTTCTGGGATAATGTGAATATACCAGAAAAAGACATAATGCATCTTCTTTAGAGTAATTGAGTTTTCCTTTGTTCCAGAAACGATACCGGGCGCTGTACGACTACTCTGCTGCAGATGATGATGAGGTTTCCTTCATGGAGGGAGACGTCATTGTGGGAGCTCAGCATATCGATGAAGGCTGGATGCACGGCTGTGTGGAGCGCACTGGCCAAGTGGGCATGCTCCCCTCCAACTACGTAGAGCAGATTTGAGCCACGAACGAGAGAATGAAAAGAGAGAAAAAGAGAGATAGAGTCTAGAGGAGGGAGGAGAAAGCAGTTAAGAAAATACGCCCAGTGCCATCTCATCTTAATCTTAACATCGCTTTCTATTGATTTTATACTGTTTTGTTAATCTCCTTCACCATTTTCTTCCCGTCCTGTTTGCCTTGCTCACCCCATCCACCTTAAATATGTCTTTTCCTTTGTGTCTTCTGCCTGCCTTTTCCATCTGTGAGCGCTGGGGTCTGTCTCAAGTATGGATAACAGGCATCCTTACATATTTTATTCTTCTTGTGTTTGGAAATATGAAACTAATTGATCGTTGCATTGTGGATTTCTGCTATCCCTTGCACTTAAAACTAAACACATGCAAATTATAACATAGACTTAATTAACATGCATTTCCTTCAGATATTAGTGTGCAAATGGTTTAAGCTGGATTGGGTTGCTTTATACTTAAAAAAATTGAGGAAAAAACAAACAAACAAAAAATGGCATTTATGTGTTATCTGCTCATCTTGTAACCCTATGTTTAGATTGTGAGAGGGAGGGGGGGCGTTCAGATGTAATACATGTATTTTCGATTGTATTTTGAATCATAAGAACATAGTCTAATACTATTTAACGGCTACTTTTACAAAAATAGTTTGTATGTATTTCAGGCATTAACTCTCCCCTCAACTTAAATTTGACAAATTAAGAAAGGCGCACGCAACCGATATTTTAAAAGCACCCTATGTAACTTTTCTGGTGTGGGCCCCTTCACCTGCTTGTTTCCATGTAGATGGTATTTCCTGGAATGTTCTACAATATGGCATTAAGTGTAGGCCCTATTTAGCGTGCTTTTAGTCAATAACAGCTGGTTTTAGTGCTCAAAAACATGCATTCTTACTATGAGCGCTGTCTCCTCTCCAGAAATCTTACCTGTAACTTGGCCTGGTGGTGCCTTTAATGTCATACGATGGTCCATTCCACGCCCTTCAACAGAAAAGTTACGTAGTGTGCTTTTAAAGCGTTCTTATGTACTTGCTAAAATCATTTGCACAATGCTGAATGGACATATTATAGTGATTTTCATATCTATTTTTGCAGCTCAAACTTGGCTAGACTGGAAACAACAGTGAAGAAACTCAGTATATTAACCTTAGCTTCTTGACTTGTACATTCCTTTTTAATATTTTTCCTCAATAATACGCCACTTCAATATAATTCAAGAGTTTTTAATATATTTATATGTGGACAAATAGACGTCTTAGGTTCAGCACTGCATCATGGGTTGTAAAACTGGATAATGTAGCTTCACAGGAGAGCAAAAGCTAACACGATCTAGAGGCTTCAGGGACAAGTTTAGGGGACACTGTCAGTCCACCTTAAAACAGCCTCACTGGAAATTCCACCTTAGGTTAGTGTGGATTTAGCTACAATCTTTTATTCCTGTCTTTGCCGCCTGGATGCCTTCAGTCTTGGAAATTAATCTGAAATTGTTGATTGGTGATGGACACAGCTTAACCTAGTCCACATTAAGAAATTCTAGATACTCTCACTGTTCATTTTAAAGGTACACTCGTTTGCGTTATTTAAAAAAATAGATATTTACAAAAAAAAAAATCACAAATTAATTTCAATAATTTGGTTGTTTGGTTAAATTTAAGCAGATTTGTCATTCAATCCTGCTATCTACTTCTTAAGCATTTACATTGGAACTAGTGTACCTAATAAAATGGCCACAGTCTGTACATTGTGTTGTGTATAGAGGACAGGGCCAAGCACAACTCAATATTGTAGTCTTAATTTTTCTGTGATTTAACATTCCTCTCCTGATTTCTTGAGACGTGGGTTCAGATCTTTGCTGTGACTTTTATTTTGTTATTTTGTGTTTTTTTTTTTTCCACCAACACGTTTCCTTGTTAAAATGAAAGAATTGCCAGAACCAACCATTAAAATACCTTCTTAGACACAGTATTAAACCAATAACTTGTGTAGCTAGATTATGTTTGAATCTAAGATAGCTACAGATAATAATAAAGTCTTATAAATATTAAGGATACGCTATGTTACTTTTCTGGTTGAAGGTCTGCCACCTGCTTCTTGTCTCTATGGAGATGTTGTTGCTTTGCCTGAATGTTCCACAGTATCGCATTACAAGTTACCAATCTTGCATTTATTACAGGTGTTTTACATGCACACTGTACTATGAGTGGGATCACCTCTTCACAGATCTGACGTACGTGGCCTGGTGAAGTCACTCGCTTGTTTCCATGGAGATATAAAGGTTTAATAGAGCAGGTGGCAGACTCTCAATTTTAAAAAAGATATGTAGTGTAGCTTTAACTTTAACACACATATTAACAAGAGCAATTTTATTGGTGGTGATCACTGAGATATAAAGGTTGTTCCGAGAATACAATGTAAAGCATATATTTTGCTGGCAATTTCACAGACAATGCTGTATTGTCCATTGTTTTGATACCGCAATTCTGTGAGTAAAAATAATTCACTTTTAAATACCTTTAGCATAGTGGTGTAAATATCTCACTATCTCAGCCCTGGCCATACAAGTCAATGTCTTTTGGTTTTTGGGTGTCAAATCTCCAGCTTTCTTAATAAAAAAAAAAAAAAAATCTTGGCTCTCACTATGTAGCTAGATGACTTTGTACAATTATATGTATCATAATGATGAGTTAGGGAATTATTTTACAGGTTGTGGTGCTCGGGGATGTGGCTGCCTACATAAAAAAAATAATGGTTCCAATATTTTTGTGAAAATGGGTCAAAGAAGATTGCAATTTCTTTTTTTTTTCTTTTTTTTTAAAGAATGCATAAAAAACATCAGTGTGGTGCAAGTTAGTGTTCATAAAAAATGCAACTTTATAATGTCATGAATTGTGGAAAATTTTGAATTGTTTTGGTGAAATAGATCGCAAAACTAAATGAAAGAACTTACTGTGTGTATGTATGCCTGTATTCATTGAAAAAATGCAAAACTAGATCATAATGTTGTTTTCTGACTGGTAATTTGGAGATGACCATTCAAAACAATTCATCAGTTTCACCAAATTCAAAATGTAACTTGTCTGTCGGTTGGATGATATGAAAGTGACAAGAGGCAGCCAAGATTGCGTGGATTCTGTTGGGATTTTGGAAAGCTATCGTAGCTTCGTCAAGTCAGGACAAGTTGTATGTTTTGACCTAAAAAATAGTCAGGATTATAACACTTTTTCACCAAATATCGCTGTCTACTGAAATACCATGCCATCTCATTATAACCGATGTCCCTTCATTGTCCATTTGTCTGTTTCACCCTTCCCCTTTTGAGATCACTGTAAACTCCTATCCTCCTATGAACTAAAAGAAAATCTTTCCTCACATCCATCGATGAAACTGGTTTAAAATTGTAGACTTTACAGAGAAAATGTAATCCAGTTTTTGTGCATTCCATTTTTAATTTCTTTTTGATATATATTTTTGTTTTTTAATTAAATAGATGACCATAATATGCATACTGATCACATAAACTCAAACATAAACAGCATATGCATAACGGACCTGGTCTCATCTCCTATCGCCGTGTTACAGCACATCAAATTGTACTGATGATTCTGCAGATTCAATAAAATGTCATTTTTCTCACACTGTGGTCTTTGGTTTACTCCGAGGTCTGAAAACACAGGTTTGGGCGGCTATGGTGATTCTTTTTTCACATATTTTAAAAGTGCACTGCATAACATTTCTGGTGAAGGGTTGGCCACTTGCTTGTCTACATGGAAACTATTGCTTTGCATAGTATGGCATTAGAGTTTTGGATTCCCATGGAGACAAGCAGGTTCCCCACTGATCACCCTGTACTTGCCATGAAATCTCCAAAATGTAGATTCACAAAACCGGATCATTTCTATTAGTGATTAGACCCATTCTTGTATTACAACGAAAAGCTGTTAATTTTAGCTGACCTCATCTGTATTAAACATGTTTAGTCTATAGAATGTTGTGTTATAATCTGAAATTGTGTCTGCATCCTTCTTTGGGCTGTTAGGTTACACATAATTGCCCTAAAATCATGATTTATTACTTTGTTGTTGAGAATAGGGGTGTGGTACCATGGTCCTTTAATCTTTTTCCTAATGTATGCATTGAAGACAGTGAGTAAAATGTTACTTCAAAGTCTAGTTATGTACTTTGTAAGATGATATCCAAGCTGTATATTATTTGATATTAGGCTAATCTGGTGTAAATAGATGCAAGTAACATTAAATTAAATTACATTTTCTTATACTTTTTGTATACTTAAGCTTTATTATGGGAGTTGCTTTAGTGCATATTTATAATGTAGTCTATTATTAGGCCTACTCATAAACGCATCAAAGATTCAGACGAGTGCAATCCCAATCCTTTGTACTGAGTGACTTCATGGCTTTTCCATTTTTCATCAAAAGCGCAGTTCCTCGCTTTTACATTAACATTTATATTACATACCCTAGATGAATAGAGTGCATTACAACATTACCAAGATCCACAAGGCTCTATTTTGTAACCCCTTTATTTTTTATTCTCGTAATTTCGCTGAAGACAGAGGATGGGATGGGCGAGGCGTGCGTCCTTACGTAAACTCCCGACTGTTTCCGATCTTCTCCGATCCTGTGCACCGGCCGTCGCTCTGTTTGTGCCGCTCGCCTCTGCTCCGACTCTATTTCCATCATGGTGGACATTTTGATGCTGATGTTCTTCGCCATCATGGGCCTGGTCTTCCTCTCCTACATCATCTATATGCTTTAAGGATGACGAAGATGATGCTGCGATGAAGACAGGAGATCCGGAGCCCCCAGGAGTGCTCGTGCACCGTGGGGATGTGCGCTTCCGTGTCCCGCATCTGTGGCTGCCATCATGGACAACGGTGCGTGTGTGTTAATTGTAAACATATGCTATTAAACAGGATCGGGCTTTTTAGGGCTACAACAAACGGATACATTAAATAGAAGAGGTTTAAAGAATGTACATAGATCCATTCAACTGAAGGTTAAGACATGAATTTGGGTTATCTGTTGTTTTTTTTCCCCATACTTTTTGAACCAACTGGACTAATATTTAGTTTTATGCTATATGTATATAGCCTAATGGTCAAACAACAACATTACTGCACAAATAAATTAAGGTTTCTCTTAGATTTGTACAGAATTATAATTTTATTTTGCACCAGAGAAGGTTGCATCAATAACACCTGACTAGGGAGCATATCATTTAAAATGCAGAAACATTATCCACGTCAGTGAATGTGAATCCATGAGTCTAGTTTAGCTTTAGTCACACATTCAAGTGAATACAGGTTTTGACTTTGACTTTCCCCCCTTTGTCATAAATCACTTTTTTTTTTTTTTTTTTTTTTTTTTTTAACAAAAATTATAACACATAAAATCCAGAAAACTCTCAATATGACCCTGTCTCATTTGGCTGGAAGTGTAGATACCATAATTCACTTTGAAAGGTCCTTCAGGTCCACTTTTAAAGTGACTCTTGTGAGCTTTAACCCATGTTATCCCATGTTGTTGTTACCTCATCTAAAAAAATGGAGCTGTGTTTTTGTTTCATTCACACATGTTTGAGTAATCCTGAGTAATCCTTGAGTAATTGAGGATTACATCTCCAAAACTGAAAATGCTCTGTTCCACCTCGTTATATCATGAAGCAATACATTTCAAGTTAACAGCTACCTTTTACCTTTAGTTCAGTAGAGAAATGATTCTCGTGAAGGTGTATGGAGTTTAAAAACACAGTGGAGCACTTGTTGTTACCACATGACATCACAAGGTGGAAATATGTGTTTTCAGTTTGAGATTAGAACTCAGCCTAAATATACAAGATTTGTGTGTTAAACATGTGTGAATGAGACAAAATTCAACTCCAGATACGTTTGTGATGAGGAAACAACATTATAACATAAATCAGAAAATAGTGTAATATGGGCCCTTTAAAGGTTAACCATGTAACTTGCTTGTCTCCATGGAGATGTTATTGCTGTGCCCGGAATGTTCCACAGTATGGCATTAAAGTGTCTATCTTCATGGAGACAAGCACGTGCCGCCAGCAGGCCATATTAGGGGTCAGATTTGTGGAGAGGCAACCTTGCTGACACTAAAATGCATATAAAGACACTGGTGACTGAATGATGAAAATTGATATATTACTGTGAAGCGTGCATGTTTTTGATGATGACTGTGTTTTTTGTATTTTATGGAGTTTTGTGCTGTCAATATAAGACATTTTCCCATTTGATCATTATAGATTTTCAATATTTTTGTTTATTTCATTCCAGGGAGAAGAGCTGAACCATGCTGTGCTGTGATGTGATGTGGTCTTCCTACACGAGATCTCCAGACTCGAGAAGGCTGTGAAGACAAAATCATGAGCTGAAGCCAAACTTTGCTTCCCTTTAATCTATTTCTCAACCCATCCACCCTCTGTCAACACCCGTATTACAGTATTGACTATTTCATGGTGAAGTTATACCTATTCAATTCTATTAGACCCTTAAAACTGCACTGTGTAACTTTGCTTCTCTTCTGGAGATAATGCCTGGAATGTTCCACTGTATGGCATTACACTTAGACAGCAGATTAGACAGCAGATGACACCACAGGGCCAGGTTACATGTCTGATCTGTGGGGAGATGAGCCCACTCATCGTAAGAATGCAAGTTTTTAGATCAGTAAAAACCCCTGTTAATGCCATACCAGGACATTCGAGACAAAACAATAATATCTCTATGGTAACAAGCAGGTGGCAGAACCTTTACCAGAAAAGTTACACAGTGCACCTTGAATAATATATTTTGATTTCACCGCTTTCTTTGTAGATTTCTTTTCAAGGGGTGATGCACAATTTGCCTTTTAATAGCACTACAAACATGTCTTGTACAGTATTTGTTGCCATTATATTTTAGTTTTGTTTTCAGATTAGACCCATTATATCAACAGTTCACGCCTTGTATCAGTGTTTTTATCATGTGTTGCCAATTTTCCTATATTTTATGGCAATCAGGGTTCCCCATAAGGTCAAAGGTCAAAGGGGAAGGAGTAACAAAAGCCGATCACATCTGCCATCATATTACTTTAAAAAGGCTTTAACTAAGCAGCAGTTTGACAGTAACAGTGTTAATATAGGCTCCATGTAACTCTATCCACATACTGTATGTATTTTCTGTTGTACCACCAGACCTCAAATGTTTTATGAAAAAAGAGATATGTTTACGAATGCACAAATTGTTGCAGTATTTAACATAGGCTATTAATATGGCTTAATAAAGATTTCTGTATATTTGCTTGCACTCTCATTTTTGTAGATTTTTGTCAGTTTTGGGTCATCTAAATCATGTTTAAGTATTGACAAGTATTTTAGATGACATCATAGCACTGTATAGTCCAATAATACTGTATTTAAAGGTTCTATATTACGCAGAATTGACCCTTGTGAGTCCGCCATCTGTGACTATGACATTCTGGAAAACTCCCAATAGATTTTTAAAGGTGGTGGAGAACTGTGAATTGTGTTTGGTTGTTAATTATTACGCAGCAATTAATGGAAGTAGATATTTAATTGATCCCATGGGAAATCTAGTGTAATGCTGTGTAGTCTTGTGTGTGGTGAGTGAGCTGTTTTTTCTTTTTTTTTTTACTTAAAAAAGAAGATACAGACATAGTTTTCATTTTCAAGCCTAATTAATGATAACAAACCATAATCTTAGCATAGTTGTTTGCATTAGACTTTACTTTAAATATACCTTAAATGAGTACTTGGTAACTTTTCTAGCTGGAGGGCCTGCTTGTCTCCATGCCAATATTATTTATTTTTTTCTGGAATAGCATTAAACATAACTATCTCATAATGGGTGGTTGCCTTCTGACCCTCACTGCAGGCATCCCAGCTGAGGTCCTTCATTCCTACCTCCATTTCTGTTTAAAGTAGCGTCAAATAAGCTTATTCCTATCGTGGCTGCACATTATCAGCTTCACTCATCAGATAGAGGGGATTTTTATATTAAATAGAAAGGATAATATGAAAAAGCTTTGTATGTGTGAACAAGAGAAGCGGTTGATTCTTTTGGTAGTGCTTCGTTGATCCAGCAGATGGCGCTGTTTACCTTCTCTGAGCTGAGAGGAGCACTTTGAGGCGGTTGATCCGTGAAGAAGCCATCTCTGCAGGTCGGAAGAAAAACAGGTGAGATGGAAAAGTAAAGTATAGTAGTTTCTTCAGTGATTCCAGTGATTGCGTTTTAATGTTATTTTAATCTCGATTCAGTGGCACAGCGCCTTTACACTAAACTTTAATATTCTTGTTATTTATTTACCTTAGATGAAGGCTGGTGCAATTTGTCCAGGAGATGGCAGCTTGGCATGATCTAATTGAGTTTTATTTAAGTGAAAGTTGCTTAACATCTCAAGATAATGCCACAGTTTGTAAATTAATCTAAATTATGTTTATTTCACTGAAAAACCTGACTTTTACTTGCTTTGGAAGAGGTTTGGGTTCCATAGAAATGCTCATTTGGCTTTAATCCAACAACATTTTTGGGTCCCAGGACTTTCTGAGATGGTTATTTTTAGGTTAGCAGAACGTTCCCTGAAGGTTAATATTAATAT